AGCTTTGTAATATCCTAGGGTGTACCCAGAAGCCTTCTCTCATACACCTGGTAGAGTTCATTTGCCCTTTTGAATTAGCAGGGTACTAAGCCCTTACTTTTCTATAATATTTCCCATTATGGCATAGAATACTTTTATTTTGGATCATGTTATTTTATATAAAAGGTGGTAACAACTTTGGTGGATATGAAAAAAAAAATAAAAGAGCCTGAAAGGTATAAATGTCTTATTTGTGAAGTTTTAGTCATTTTATAAAAAAAAGTCTATCTATCTATCATCTATCTATCCATCCATCCACCTGTCCACCCACCCACCTACCTACCTATCATATAAAGTATCTAATGTATTTTGGATATTAAATATATTTTTTATAAAATGATCTGGGAACAATGAAGGCTGATTTGAATATTCTTTTCTCAAGCTTAGCACATACTGTCACTTTAATTTGGCATCCTTTGAGATAAAGTTCCAATCTTACTTCTGCCAGGAGCCTTTCTGGACCATCCTATCTATGTGTGATTCCCCATTTGTAAACTGTATCTTCATATGGTTCTTAAAATACTGCTTTTTTTTTTTAATCTGTAGCCTTTATCCTCAGTCGGTTTATATCCTTCTTGAGGGAAAACATAGGATTTTCCTTCTTTATTTCCATAGCTAAAACCTCAGTGCCATTCATTAGTGTTCAATCAATAAATATTTGCTAATGGATTTATTCAGAAATAGGCGTAAGGTAGTGGTGTGCTAGTGCATGTATAGTTCATTAATACAGAGTTCAATTTTAAATAAACTCCAGTCTTAATTCCTATGCATTAATGAAATATGTAGGCATAGGTAATTGTAGAATCACAGGTTTTTAGCTTCAGCTGGCTGCTTATAAATTACCAAGTGCATGTCTATTATTTTTTACATGAGGAAATCAGTGTTCTTTAGGACACTAAGCTACCTGAAAAAAGGAATCATTTACTTAAACATTTCATTTCATACAAAAACAATGGTTTTAGTTATCTTTCCATTTTTTGATAGCACATGGTAGCATCACAGAATAGGTACCCAAATGTCAGCTGAATGGATTGCTTCATGGAAATCAGTTTCACTAACCGGATATTTAGAACTAGACAATGAATGGACAGCTTGTGCCTTCAGCTTCTCACATGCTCCACAAGGGGTACCATCACCTACAGCTGTCCCATTAGCTCATTTTGTTGGATCTCTCTTGCTTCAGATACAATTCTTGTTTCCTGTGCATTCCAGATTTTCTTTGAGCACCTGCCTGAGCATGTGGATTCTAGCTCTTCTTTCTGACTCCTACTGCATGTGTTAAAAACCTAATTATATTGTATCCTTCCTGAATCTGTAATCATATCTGCCTTTCTAAAAGAGAAGATTTATGCTTTTACTTTTCTTTTTCAGGAACCACGGATGATCTGGTTCATGTGGTCTGGAAAGGAGAAAACAGGGGGCACCAGATAGAGGAATTTTCTCTTGGCCGGTCACTAGGAGGTACTCCTCAGTCTCCATTTAGATTGCTCAACCTCATTCATTGTTCTCCAAGTCTTAGAAACAAAGTGAGATATTAGATACAGGGTTTAATTCTTCAGTACCCTAAGCCCCCAGTTATAACACAAGGGTTGAGGGTGAAAACCCAAGCATCTCCAGCAACAGTAATGCTGATCAGTTACTGCTGATCAGTGTGTTTAGAGTACAAACCAAGCACCATGGTTTGGATTTATTCCGTTGGTTGCATGACCAATCCTTGCTCCTTCAGATGTAGTACTCCTGGAACAGACTCACTTGGAGTAAAGATCAAACAGAATGCATTTTAGAAATTTCTGATCTAACCTTACTGTTTTTCAGATAAGGAAGCTGAGACTCAGAGAAGTTATTTGTTTTAAGGTGATTCAATTGGATTGGATAGTGACAGATCTGGGACTAACACTGGCCATGCAGTCCCTTTCATGGCAGCTGACTTTTGGTAACTGTCTTATTCTTTTACTTCCTCTTTTACTTTTATCTGATATTTGGAGTGATTTCATGCCCATGTAGATGACCAGTCTTGCAGCTGAGCCTCAAAGTTCCTTGAATTCTTCATATGCAGTGACTTTTGCTCTGACCCCACTTCCATCACCGCCTCCTATGGATCTTCTTATCACTTAACTGTCACATGTCTGAAATATCTCAATCTCTAAGTACAGCCTTCACTTTTCTCATATGCATTTCATTTTCCCTCCCTTTAAATGCATAGGACTTTCCTTTTCTGCCTCTATTTTCTCCTTGACAGCCCCCTCCTGTGTTCCCCTCTTCCCCACTCAGGTTCAACTGCATGATTCATCTAGTTAGCCAGTCTTTACTAATGTCCTCAATGCTCTTTATTTGTTGTTTTTCTTTGCGCTTATCTGACAAAAATCCAACTGAGTGTGTTGGCTTTCTCCATGCTTCTACCAGGGCTGACACAAGCCAATGGAGAACACCCCACAGCTGGGCTGATTGATGCCTCTACAACAGTGGTTCTCAAGGTGTGGTCCCCAGACAGGTGGTCCCAGACTCAGAGACTCTTGGAATGAAATACAACAATCTGTATTTTAACAAGTTCTCCAGGTAATCCTGATAGACTCTAAAGTTCGAAAAATACTACTTATTAAATCTTTGTCTTTAACCTCAATTGGCAATTAACACTAGCTGTCAATCTTTGTATGTTTTCTAAATTAGTGATCCTCTATGTTTTACATACTAGCTTCTTTAAATCTCCATTCTCCTCCAATCTGTGGTCCTGCCTGTCTCTTCTCACTCTCCAGAGATGATCACCCTCTGACTTATACAGTTTGTGCTTGAACCCCCTTAAACACCTGCCACCAAATCCTCAGACTTATTGCAGTTAGTTGCAGTGGTAGAGTGTTCCTGTTCATGTTGAGGGCCAGCCCCACACACCTGCTCTAGATTCCTTTCTCTTCAGCATTGGGAACTCTCTCCACTGGCATCTTCCACCTGACCGCATCACAATTTACATTCATACACTGGGGATTTTGATTTTAAGTGTCATAAAAAGCACTCTAGGATTTTAAGCAAGGGAGTAACATTATCTGATGTACATAGTTTGTGGCGATTTTTATCTTTCTTGTGTGGAGAATGGGTTGCAAGAGCTGAACCAAGAAAATCAGTCTGGCTGTAGTGGAGATGTAACTAGCTTTGGGTTATGATTTTGAAGTAGAATTAATAGGGGAGGGTGGAGAGAATCAAAGGTAATCCTAGTCTTCTTGGTTTTAAGAACTGTGTGGATAATGAAGTTGTTTATCAGAATGAGAAAGACTGGGAAAGGATAAGATAACTGGAAAAAAAATAATGTTTTGGTCATGTTGAATTTCAATTGTTTATTGGAGGAGATCTATGAAGAGACAGGCATCTAAATACATGAGTCTAGAATTCCAGGGAGAGATCAGGAATACAAATTTAGAGTTAGGAATTTTTTGGCCTATAGGTGACATTTAAAGCTCTGTTATTGAATGAAGTCATCCTGGAAAAGTGTGTAGAAAGAAGGTAGCCTATGACAAAGCCCTGGGCTACTCTAATATTTAAAATGGGAGTATGGAGTCAAAGTTTCTAACACAGGAAAATGGGAATGAGCAATTGGTATGTTAGGAGAATTTCTCAGAATTCTCCTAATCAATTCTCAGCCAAATTCTTCAGAGAAGTAAATGAAAATAAGAACAGAGAGGTAATCATTGGAAATGGCAACACAGGGGGCTCCAGAGGCCCTGGCAAAAGCACTCACAATAGAATGGTAAAAACAGAAGTCTGATTAGAATGGGCTGAGGAAATGAAGTTACTGAATTGGTCTGGCCTGAGAAAAAGCTGAAAGATCTGTTAGTCCTTCATTCTAGTCCCTGCTTAATAGATTCCTGAAATCAAAAACCATTCTAAAAAGTGACTTAAGTCCTTCAAGCTGATGCTGACTTTTGGAGAAATAAGGGTGGTTATTAAAGACTCTAAAGACTCTGAAAAGTTTACAAGAAGGTCCCATACAATTTAAACAGAACTAGAATGTTGAAAATCAATATAGAGCTTCCTAAATGACACGATTGATAGGGTAGTTACCATATCAAAACAACAACCACCATGACAAAATTAGTTAACTAACAATAGGTATTATAACAAATTGGAATCTGATATTACCTGGGATAAGTCAAGTTTCATATGATCAGTTCATAGATATTTGAGAGTTGGCAACATGTGCACACATACACACACATACTCACACTTGCCGCCCTCTCATCATTTTTATTAGTCAATCCCTTTAAGATAGTATGTTTAATTTCATGGGTGATAAAATATGAGAAATCGCATCCTCATCAGCATATATTTATGAAGTCCCTAGTGTACATACATAGGAAAGGACATTAGATATGAGCACTATGATTACAACAACACTGGGGAAATAAAACATATAAGGAATCAAGTCTTGGCTAAATCCCCAACTCATAAAAATTATCAAGCAGCACATGTTCTAAAGATGGTGAACTGGCCATATATCAAGGGTCATCTTAGTCTGCAGACTATAGAAATAACTGTTGGCCATACAACTAATAAAGATAATTATCACCAGTGAATGACACTATTTAATAAGAGAGGGAGCCATGTATTTTCCATTAGATGGTCGTTTGTTGCGAGAATATTATATCCACGTACAGTTCACATATAATTGCTCAAATGCAAGATTCCTTTCGTGATGGAGCATTTGGGAAAGAGAATCTTTCATTGCACTTTAACCATAACTAATCTCATAAATAATATTTCAATTGTCCGTTCATTTACTCTGTCATATTTAAGTTAACATGAATGTATTGAGCACTTATTATGTGCAAAGCACTATACTGATGTTGCCTTAAATATATGCATATAAGAATGAAATAAGCCCCAAATATTAAATCTTTATTTTAGAATGAATGAGTTGCTGACATGCTGGTGCTATTACCAAGGGGTGTGAACACCAAATGTTTAGTTCCTACCAGCTCATGACCCCCATCTTCATCGAAGTCCTCCTCTATCCCATCAGTCATCTCTTCTCCATCCGCATCTGGCCCTCCTTCAGCAGGCTCCTCTGTAGAGTGATCTGCATTCTCTGACACACATTCATCTTGGATCAGCTCTATACTCTCTTCCAATTGCTTCTTCTGAGCTTCTGGGGGGGAGAAAGCAAATGACTACTACCTTGGGTTGCTCATGAGCCATTTGGATAAACCATGACAAAACAGTCTATGAAAGGGTAAACTCTGTGTGAGGAAGGTAAGGTAATATTATGTTCCAGTTGAATTTATTCAGTCATGTAAATTATGTACCTATACCTATGTGTATTTTCATTTCAGTATACTTACTTTTAAATGGAATTATCAAAAATTAGGAAGTCCAGATGGTACTTGTATATAAAGAAATAAAGATTTACATAAAGAGATGGCTCTTCCTGGCTATATATATTCTTTTTTAATAAGAATATTCTCTCTGAGGAAAAAATACAGCAAAAACAAAGGGAAAAAATCAAATAAAACATAGAACTTGTTCACTAAAGGAGGGAAGATAAAGAAATTTCATTGACAAGTTCAAATCTAAGTGAAAAAGACAAAAATTCACTGAGGAAAAAAAGTACAAAAGTACATGCGTTGTCTTTCAGACAACTGTGAACAATACTCTGACATTTTAGAGTCTAAATTCTCTTGGCAGATGTGGTTAACTGCAATGGTTAAGAATAAAATTCTGGTGTTAGATTTACTAGCTTTGTGATGCAAAGCCAAAATGGTTAACCCTCCTTGTGCTTCAGTTTTCTCATCCATACAATTAGGATTACTACTTCTTAATTTCCAGAGTTTGGAAATAGTAAATCAATGAGTTTAGTACAGTTATTTGCAAATAATAAGTGCTCAACAAATGAAGCTACATTCTACATTAATAGAATACCCTCTAATTACCAGGGTGTGCACGTTCCATTTACAGAAATTCGCCCAGATGGGATTTATGCTGACAACATAATAATTATTTCCCTAGCGGTTGGTTTTCATTTCCTGTGAAAATATCAAGAAGCATTGGGTACTGAATAAACAAGATCATTTAATGTACCTCCTTCTCTAACTTATTCCTATGTATACGTGGTTCTCTCAAAAGCCTTGTGGTTTTCACTCATTTTGATTATGGTTATTTTACCAGACAATTATCCCATTATTTGATTTGAGTTTTAAGAGATGCTACATCTTAAGCTTATTTATTTATATTTTATGGCAATAAAGACTGTTTATAGAGCCAAATAAACTGAGGCATATTCATTCCTAGTCTTTTTCATAATGTGAGTTAAAAAGAAAGTAAGCATTGGTATACATATATTCTGACTCAGCACAAATCTTTTCAGACACAACTAACTTGTAAATCAATAAACTGATAAAAATGATGTATAAATAAGCAGGTATCCTCTTCTATAAGTTGTTTAAAATTTTAATAACAGTTACTCATATAAATACATGTGTTCTTGTATTTTAATTCTTCAAGTACTAAAGTTTATGCGTTGAGAATCAGGCAGAAGGGTAGGATTGTGCCTTGGTCCTGCTGTCAGAGGACAGGATTCTAGGTCAGCTTAGCTACTTACCAGTGGAATCATGCACAGTGGACTTGAGTCTGTTTTGGCCACTTGGTCAGGTAATTGGAACATAGTAGGTCAACCTTCCCTCATTTATATAAAAGCTTTCATAAAAATACCTACCTCTGGGGTTGCTGTAGGATTAACAGAGCTTATATTTGGGAAATGTTTTGCACACTATGAAGGGGGACTACATAAATGTGTAACTCTTACATACAAAAAAGGAGACTGCATGCTCCTCATTGTGAATATGTCAAGATAACAGCACCAGTAAGCACGGGATGAGAGGCTTGGGCAGATCAGGGAATAACAGTGAAAAACTTGTGGGGCTGAGGCTCCATTCCAGAGGAGGAGAAGAGCTGGTATGGGTCCAAAAAGGCTAAAAGTAATTACTACAGGTGTCTTAAAATGACAAAACCTAGGCTCTTTTTCTTCACGTTTACTTCCTACATGTAGACACAGACTACATTCTGTGATGCTTTTCTATCAACTTGTTAGTTTCCCTTTTCTCCATAGAACAACATAACTAATGTTGTGATGATGTAAATTTTGCTTTTAAAGCTATACTCTTTATCTGAGTTTCAGACACACTGAGTGATTGTCCCGATGAAAGCAAGTAGCATAAATTCCCTTTTCTCTGATGTCTACATTACTTTTAGCTTAGAAATTCCTATGAAGATTCTAAAGTGATTATTGTCAAACTTAACCAAAAGGGTTTAATCTGGAGAAGATGACCCAAGTATCTGGATTAAAAGGAAGGCAAATCAGAAAAAAATAAAATAAAAAATAAATAAAATTAAAAGGAAGGCAAAACAGGCAAATGATACAGACCAAACACATGCTGAACTTAACTGCTACTGAAAATTGCTAGGTTTTATTCATCTTGCCTTCCTTCCACGTATCGGTGTCCTTTACAGTTCTTGACCTTTAACCTACCTACACACCTCTGGCCAGCACCAACTGAGGGAAAACTGTGATGGGCAGACGCGTTTGAGCACTGAAGTTTTGAATCTTCTGATGTTAATCACACCCCATGCTTTACCCTACAGTCTTTACTACCACTGATGCCTTGGGCAGCACAATGTATCCGGCAAGGGAACTCTGGTTTCAACTCTTCCATCTTTGTCCTAAGAGTGACTTTTGTATTTATCACCTGGTCCCTCCCATTTTGCCACTCTATGTCACTATGCTACTTGTTAGAAATACCATTGCTTGGAATGCCTGGGTAGCTCAGTTGGTTAAAGCATCTGCCTTCAGGTCAGGTCATGATCGCAGGGTCCTGGGATTGAGCCCCGAGTAGGACTCCCTGCTCAGTGGGGAGCCTGCTTCTCCCTCTCCCTCTGCCTGCCCCTCCCCTTCTTGTGCCCTCTCTCTCTCAAATAAACAAATAAAATCTTTTAAAAAATACCATTGTTCTCACCACCTGGTTCTGGTATTTCAAGAATGAGAAAGGAATGGACGTTTGGGATTGAACGGTTATTACCCTATACAGTGAAAAATGTCTTGAATCTTACAACTTTTCCTAAAGCCAGGCTTTCTCAATTTTAGGTCATTATATTTATTTTTTCGTTATAATACATAACTGTACTTTTGCTTAGGATTAATATTATTTTGGAAATTTATTTGGTCTGACATATACATTTCTTCTCTAATGATTTCAGAAATATTTGTTCTCTGGGAACCCTTACTTTTTGATGTTGAAAGTAGTATTCTGTTTTTTTTTCTCCTCTGGAAAATCTTTGACCAAAGAAGCATGGAAGATTTTCAGAGAACCCATGTAGGATCAGAACTTAAAAGATGAGTAGCCCTCATTTGACTTTGTGTATCAATTTGTTGCAATTATGCTTGAAATCCAAGCTGACTCTCCTGATCCTCCTACTTGGCTGGGATTCCTTCTCTCCTGATCAACCAAAGCCCAGATCAAATGCTGTTCTTATTGTTAGTCTACTATATCCTTTTCTCTGGTGTTTACGTTTCCTTAATATTTGAGCTATCGTCTCAAAAGGTCATTGTCACAAAGGGGATAATATAGATGCTAATATTTTGTAAAGTGGAAAGTACAATACACATCAGTTATCAAGAAATTTTTGATTTGCTCTGTACCCCTTACCAAGTGCTTATACATAGAAGAGATAATATAAGCTATTAGAAAGGATACAGGATTTGAGATCCATAATTCTGTTAATTACTACTCCTATTAACTATGGCTTTCTTCTCTAAAAGATGAGCATGAAAATAACATCCTTCAGAGAGTTGCTGTGTACTTCAAGGAGGAAAAAGAGGTGAATGTGTTTCCGAAAGTGTAAAGGCCACACAAACATGTTATCATAACAGGCTCAAAAATAGTTCTTGAGTTGAATTTATATTGATTATTTGATTGCTACAGACAGTTTATGTCAAAATCATTCATCACTACTGACCATTAAGAGTCATACATTACAAAGACAATTTTGGCTTCATTTCTGTTTAGATAGGCATAGTGTTTTAATTTATTCTCTGCTCTTGTGTGTGTGTGTGTGTGTGTGTGTGTGTGTGTGTGTGTGTTATATAACATACATGGAACTCCTCTGACAGCCTATTTCAAAGGCAAGAGTGTATTAGAGTTCAATGCAAAAAAAACCTAGGACTTATCCTCATTCATCCATTCATTAACTTGAAAGTTAAATGTGTGGAAGACATTATTTGGTCTGAGAAAAAAAAAACAACCTTTAATTACAATGGTAATCAATTCATGGCAGTTTAACAGAAATACAACCAACCTGTGCTTTGGTAATATGTAGTCATCATAGATTTTTGTCATTACCTCAGTGAGAAATGTTATAATCACTAAACAATGATAGGTTCCAGGAATAAAATCACACATGAAAGCACATTTTGTTTATTAAACTGTTGGTTCACAGTTTAACAAGCAGTTTTGATCCAGCAATTATTTTGTTGAAATACAAACAAAGCAACTTGTTCTATTTTTTATGAATAATTAACTAGTTTTACTTCTACTAGAAGTGAGTAATATGTTTTAGTTTACTCCTGACTTTATAACATTCTCTTTATCTGCATAATTCTTTTTCTAGTTATAGCTTTTCCTTTTTATTGTGAGTGTTGAATGTATATGTGGTCTGTATGTGTGTGCATACATATTTATGTCTCTACTACTAATGTTCTTTGTGGCAGAAATATTTTATTCATCTTTGTAGCTCTGATGGCTAACTCAGAGCCTTATACACAAATGAAATATTTGCTGAATATATTCATGAATTGTTGTGGAACTAAAAAATGGACATAAATGTCTGGGTGTCAAATTCTTTTCAGAGAGTCAAAGTGATTGTTGAAATTGGCATCATGGTAGCAAAAATATGAAGCCACAGAGGTTAAAAGAAATATCCTTGCCACATTTTGCATGAGAGCCCCATACCACTAAGTCAAAGTAAAATGTGGGGTCTGAGAGTTTCTTAGAATATGGTTTGTTTTCAAATGGATAAGTCTTTAGGAGAAAAATAAAGTGTAAAGTCTGCAAGGGCTTCCAGGGGGAGGGCTGTTTGGAGTCTCTGTTGTTTTCTTTA